GCTTTAAATGCTCCTTTTTTGTAAACCTATTTTACAACTAGAATAGCTTCATTTTATTAATTCAAAACCTCATGACCAAATGGTATAAAATTCTCCTTCAGTAGTTCCATGCCACTACCACATGATGATGTGTTATTTGCAAGTACCTCAGTTTCATGACAGCCTAATTAAAACTATATAATTTCTCTATAGTACCGTGTTAGTACCGTGTTCCTTCCGTGATTTCATGCCAGGAGATCATGTGCATTCAGTTAATTTCTTCATTTTTAAGCATAAAACCATGTTGTCAAACCACTGGGAATTTCATGTATTGCAATTTTATATCTCTAATGTTACAGGAATCTTACTACCCCTTATTGTCAATTACTATAGAAAGAACAAGAGATTCTGTACTTAATCACACATCACCAATACAGAACCTGTTCAACTGCCAAAGTAAAGGGACCTGAAGACATCCTATTCCCTATATGAATGTGCACTACAGAAGGGCTGATTAACTCCACATCAAGGTTGGGTTCTAAAATACCTTTAGAATTGGATACACACTTTATAAATACCTAATACACCCTGTGTACATAAATACATTCACACAAATATTGTGTGAGTACACACTATGCACAATGTGTGAACAAGGTATTTTTTTAAATGTGCAGATGTATGGATACATATGCTATGCTATTGAAATAATTTTGTACTATAGCATGGGAAAAAATAAAGCAATGGTTAAACATCTTTTACAATAAACTACTTAAGTCAGACTTAAAGAACCCCCAAATTAGCTTTGAAAAGCTAAGTATTTCCTTATGGGATGGTGGAAATAATACATTTTTCTTCCCTTAAATGCTATCCTCCCTCCCATTGTTATTTCTTTTCCATTGCTTTTCCCTTTTCTCCTCCTTACAACTCTAGTTTGTGTTTGAAATGCAGTGCTCCTTTCCAAGATTGTAGTAAGGAAGTCACAGAATATCTTATCTTCAAGGCAACAGGATTCTGGCTTTATTCTCAAATCACTACACATTGTTCATCTTCTCCTCCCCCCTCCCCATGAGCATTTGAGAGATCTTTCACCTCCCTTATTTAATTATCTTCCTCTTTAGAAGATTTGTAAAACAGCAGCTCATTAAACCAGCATACTTTTAAAAAACTTACATGCTAGAAAACTTTCCCTATTAAAAGTTATTTAAATTAGGAATCAGAGTAGATATAAACTCCTCAAATTTCAAGCACTTCATAAACTTACTGTGAACTTACCTGTAAACCATATTTCACCCGAATTTTTTTTAATTCTTTTCTTCTGACTAATTCTCTCTCTTCTTTGCTCAGTGCTGGACAAGCTAAAGGGAGTCCACAAGACCAAATTTAGTTGGATAATCAAGTAATACTATTCTGAAGTAGTCACATTACAACAGATAATTTTGTCTTGTATAGTAAATACAACTGAGTATAACCACACCGGACGGAATATATTTAAGTTTCCTTTTTATTTCTATGTTCTTAAATCCTATGCAACAATTGCTTGCTGTAATAATATGATCAGGATATTGTATGTTACAAATTAATTTCAAGAACACTAACGAGTTGGACATGACCCTCCTCTCCACTGGAGTCTAGCTAAATGGACATACTCCTCTGCTCTTCCCCTTCTTCCCTTTCTTTTTTAGTTATAGTTTTAAGCTTTTTTTAGTTTTTAAGCTTTTGGTAGGTTCTTTAATACAATGCAATTTCTTTTATTCAAGGCCATCATGAGGCCCAGCTTTGCCTAGAAATCATATGGCTTATGAATATGTATATAACCTGTGGCATGTGTGGTTAGGTGTGAATGAGGAATACCCAATCAAAGGCTCAGGATCCGTGACCTTTTAAGGCAGACAAGGACCCTGCAAGCAGATAAATTAACTGAGAAGCAACCAGAAAATCTCTCTCTTGGACAAAATGTAACATCACAGCAGAAACCTGGAACCGGCCCAGAGAAAGTAAACCCTCTTGCAGATCCGAAGGGATCTCCCAAGGAACATCATGTCGAGTCTCTGGGAAGCGGATGCCTGGCCAGCACACCAGCCACCAGCGAAATCAAAAGTAATCTACACTGCATTTGCAGCCTGCCTCCAAACTGCCAGCATGACTGTGATGTATGTATTACTTTACTCTTAAAAATCTGTATCAATAAACAACCCCAAAAGCAATACTGCTCCAGCCCACCCTTAGTCCAGGTTTGTTCCTCAGCAAGTCTGAGGAAGTGCAACAAACACAATGCTACTAAAAGTAACCCAAATTCTTAGTGTGTGTATATATATTTGCATACAGTGTAGCCTCTCCATGTATGGAGAGGAAAATACATCACATGGTAGAAAATACATCACAATACAGAAGTGTACCTCGTAGGGCTAGCAATCAATTAAAAAAGTACAATTAATAGCACTGTTAAACAATAGTTGAATACTATTTAAATATTTTTATATTTTCTACATTTTCAAATATGGATTTCAATTACAACACAGAATGCAAAGTTACACAGTCCTCACTTTAGATGTATTACAAATATTTGCACTATAAAAAATAGAACTTTTCAGTTCACCTAACAAAATAATGTAGTGTAATCTCTATCAAGAAAGTTGAATTTACAAGTGTAGAATTATGTACAAAGAATAACTTAATTGAAAAATAAAACAATGTAAAACTTTAGTGCCATAAGCATCCTTGTAGTCTTACTTCTCATCCAGCCAATAACAAGAGACTTTTTTTTATAGTTGTGGGAGATAATGTTGCTCACTTCTTTACAATGTCACCTGAAGTGAGAACAGGCATTTGCATAGCATTGTTGCAGCCAACATTACAAGATATTTGTATCAGATGTGCTAAAGATTCATGTCTCTTTCTGCTTCAACCACCAATCCAGAGGACATCTGTCTATGCTGACAAATTCTGCTTAATAATGATCCAAAGAAAGTGCAAGCCGATGCATGTTCATTTTCATCCCGACTAAGATGTTACCAACAGAAGGTTGACTTTCCTTTTTGGTGGTTCAGGTTCTGTAGCTTCTGCACTGGAGTGTTGATCTTTTAAGATTTCTGAAAGGATGCTTCATATCTCATCCATCCCAGAATTTAGAGGACACTTTAGATTCTTAAGCCTTGGGTACAGTGCTGTAGCTATCTTTAGAAATTTCATATAGGTATATTTTGAGTTATTAAATCTGCAGTGTAAGTGTTCTTAAACAAAATATGCTGGGTTGTCATCCAAGACTACCATAACACAAAACATGGCAGAATTCAGGTAAAACTGTGGAGCAGGAGATACACTAAACATTCATATACCTCTTCATGTTTTGATCACCATTCCAAAGGATGTGCTTCCATGCTGATTTGTGACTGAATTCTGTGAAATAATTGTGTGTGGCACAAAAACACCTTGTAATGCTGGCTACAAAAGTGCCATGCAAACACCTGTTCTAACTTTGACACTTTAAATAAGCAGGCAGCATTTTTGCCCGTAAATGCATACCAACTTGCTTTTCTTAGTGATTAGCTGAACAAGAAGTAGGATTGAATGGACTTATAGGCACTAAAGTTTTACATTGTTTTGGTTTTGACCTGTTATGTAACAACAACAAAAAATTACATTTGTAAATTGCATTCTACAATAAAGAGACTGCACTACAGTACTTGTATGGAGGTGAATTTTACAGTGCAAATATTTATAGTTGAAAGTAATATAAAGTGACCGCTGTACACTTTGATTTCAGTTACAATACAGAATACAATCTATTTGTAAAATGTAGATAAAATCCAAAAATATGTAATACATTTGAATTGATAATCTATTGTTTAACAGTACCATTAAAAATGACTAATTTTTAATCCATTATTTTTTGAGTTAATCACATGAGTTTACTGGGATTAATCAACAGCCCTCGTACCCAGTTGACAATTTTTATGGGTTTGGTTTTTTTTAGCAATTTGAATACAACAACCTGGTTCAAAAGAGAGGGTGATTACAAAATTAATTGAGAATGTACAATAATTTAAGAGCTACTGTCCATCACATACCAGAAGATTCCTTTTTCTTATCAAGGCGAAGATGTGCTCTGACCTGTCCTGGTTCACATCCATCACAGGTGTCACTGCCAGGGTGTATATGGAAGGATAACACAGTTTCTCCAATCTTTACTTCATCCCCATGTTCCAGAACATAGGGGTCACATTTTGTTTTAGGCTATAGAAAAAGAATTACACAATTTTGTCAGCTGTATTTATTAGACTATTTATTTATTAGACTATAAAATGCACCATTATATGTATTCCATTAATATTGTTCGTGTGCGAGTCATTAAATTGGTACCTTGGTAATCTAACTACATTTTTAACTAGAACGGATCTCACAATTCCTAATCCAAAATAAATACAAAAAGTTAATTATATCTAAAAATTGAGCAAAAGCAAAGAAGTTATCAATGCATGGAAGAAAAAACACTCAGTAAAATAATCAGTGGTGACTTATAAATCATAATTTTATTTAATGATATTGCATTATAGAAAAGTACCTAACTTTCCTAATCACAGTAAGTTGCAATGCTCACCTGTAGGATCTGATTTCCATTAACAATTGTGCCATTCTGACTGCCTTGATCCACAAGGACATAGTTTTGCAATTCGTGGTCAAAATATACTTCTGCATGAAACTAAAAAAATAGAATGAAATAAAATGTTTTCACTGTGGAGTGCTCAGTTGATGTATTATCTTAGTGCAAGTTCCAGAGTATATTTTAGTGGTCTGTTAAATTGCACATTTGTAGGCTGACAATCAAAAGGAAGGGTACAAAAGTAACTGAATTAAGAATTACCTTACTGACCCCAACTTCAGGAATCTGAAGGGTATGTTCCATATCTTTCTCTCTATAAAAACAGGTAAATAGTTGATTTCTGGCTTACACAATTATATAATTTTGCATCATGGTACCATAGAGATTTAAGATACTTCACATTAAGAAATTATAACAAAACCAAATTAAAGAAAAAGTGAATGCAATCAGTGATTAGCATCACACGTCATACAAATCATAATAAAGTTTCCTTTCTGAACTATCAATAAGCTTTACAGACTAAAATGGTGATTCAATATATGATGGTGAGAATTACATTATGTATCTGTAAATACTAACCCATGCTAATTAAGCTGAAACTAAACTTATCAGGGAAAAATGTTGATCCCATACAAACACACAAGACCTGTAGGAAAAATGGCTTTGGTTGTGGAGAGGCCACATAGAGGAATCCTGTGTCCTTTGTGCTCTTCAGTGAGTCTCTAGAGCCATGTTTAGAGCATTTTTAGCATCAGGCAAGGGATATGAGTGGCTCTATAAACTACATTGACCCCTTGGCCAAAATTCCTGTATAGTGAATGGTCATCCCAACCTAGTAACTGATAAATGGATAAAGGACCTTGGGATGCAGGCTGAGAGTGAGGGGGAATTTCCATTTACTCCAGGGGTGGGCAATAATTTTTGATGGGGGAACCACTCCAAGATTTTGGAAAGTGGTCAAGGGCCACACTTTTCTGTGGAGATGTGGGGTCCAGCTTGGGTGCAGAAGGCTGCACAGGATAAGAGTTTGGGATGCAGGAGATGGTGTGAGGTCTAAGAGGGAGTTTGGGTGCAGGAAGGGTTTGTGACCTGGGTCAGGGCATTGGGATGTAGGGTCAGGGAGGGAGTGTAGGTGCAGAAGAGAATTCTGGCTTGGGGGAGGGACTCTAGGAGAAGGTGCAAAGTTTGGGAGGGAATTGTGACCTGGAAAAAGGTAGTGAAGACTGCAGAGGGTTTGGGTGGTGAGCTGGTGCAGGAGGTTGGAGTGCAGGGTCTGAGAGGGTGTTTGGGTGCAGGAGAGGATTCTAGCCTGGGGGAGTAATGTAGGAGAAGATACAGGGTCTGGGAGGGAGTTGTGACCTGGGGGTGCAGAGGGTTTGGATGGTGACCTGGGGGAGGGAGTTAGGAAGGGGGAAGGGCAGGCTCTGACTGGGAGGTGCTTACCTAAGCCAGCAGCCCTGCAGCATCCCCAAGGCAGGCTGGACTCCCTGTCTGCTGCAGCCCCAGATCACTTGAAACTGCAGGCTTGTTAGGAACTGAGAGATTGGCTGGGGTCAATTCCTACTGGCCAGTTGTTTCCAGCCTATAGGAGCTGAAGATTAGGCTGAGGGCTGTGAGATCACATGAAGCCTCCCCTCCCTGCAGAGCAGAGAGCCACACGGACTGCACTTTAAACTGTGGCAACCGTGTGCTTGAGGGTCTTGGCAGGTTGGTCAGTGGGCTGGATCTGGTGACTTGGCAGGCCAAATACGACCCCCAAGCTGTATTTTGCCCAGCCCTGGTCTACTCTTATCACCACAAAATTGCAAACTCCAGTGTCCATTTATTGTGCGTGTGGAATCAAATCCTATATGCATATCCCACTATCAGGGTATGTCTACACTACCCCCCTAGTTCGAACTAGGGGGGGTAATGTATGCACACCGAACTTGCTAATGAAGCCCGCCCGGGATTTGAATTTCCCGGGCTTCATTAGCATAAAGCCGGCGCCGCCATTTTTAAAAGCCGGCTAGTGCGAACCCCATGCCGCGCGGCTACACGCGGCACGGACTAGATAGTTCGGATTAGGAAGCCTAATCCGAACTATCTGTACACCTCGTGGA